ACCTGTTGTGCTAGAGGAAAAGTTTTGCTACCATGTCTTCAGGAACCTCCAGCTGAATTAAAATCTTACTTAACAGGCGATAATGAGTTTTCACAAAAATTTCGCCAAAATATCTGTGCTTATAATTCAACTTTTGCTTTTACTTTTATGGGAGCTAAAATTGACCATCGTATAACTGGCACAAGAGGTCCTTATACTTTTCATATACATGGTGAAATGTATCATAAAATTGGGTCTCTTCTTCCTCAACCAACTACTGAACCTCCTTTATTTGCGCAACTCTATATTTTTGATACTAATAATGAGGTTCAAAATAGGCTTAATACTATGCCTTCTTTAAATCGGGTAACTCTGGCTGCTCTTCAAAATATGCTTCATAATACTAACCCATATGTACAAGTTTTTCAGCAAACAGGTAGATTGTTACGACAGAATCTATCTCAACAGTTAAAAATGGTAATTACAGATTCGAGAACGACTGATTCAAGACGTTATAACATTCCAAGCGTTTCTGAGGTTGCTGCTATTATAGTAGATGATAATAATAATACATCTACTATATGCAATTGTGATATTATTTTACATTCCCATAATGAAGGTCTACAGCGTATATCTGAGCTTCATAGAGCATATACACCGTTACATTACGTTCTTCTTTTTCCAAGAGGAAAAGGTGGATGGTATCCGAAAATTCCAATTCGTGATGAAGCACAATTATCTTTTCTTGATGTTGAACAACAACATGATATTGATGATGCTATCGATGCAGACGATAGCATTAAACATCAAAAATATGTTACTATGATGCAATATTACGCATATCGACTGCAAGTAGGTAGACCTGGAGAAAGAATGAATCTTTATCTATTTGGATATCTTTTCCAACAATATATCGTTGATACATATGCAAATGTGAAACAAAATCGGCTTAACTATTTAAAGTGCAATCAAAAAAAGATTCGTGCAGACCTTTATAGTGGTCTTCATAATGCATTAAGTACACAAGATGAAGTATCTTAGGATTTAAATATCGCTAATATTGGCAGGCAAATTATTCTTCTATCGAGTTTTACTGCTGGGCCATGACAAATGCAGCAGCTATATCAGGATGCGATGGCTATTGTGCGCAAGATGGATAAACCTGATCTTTTCATTACATTTACCTGCAATCCAGCTTGGCCCGAAATTACTTCAGAACTTCTTAATAATCAGGTAGCCTCCAATCGCCCTGATCTCATGGCTAGAGTCTTCAATATGAAATTGAAAGCTTTAATGGATGATATTCTCAAAAATTATATTTTCGGAATAGTTGTAGGTTATGTTTATGTCATTGAATTTCAAAAGCGTGGCCTTCCTCACGCTCATATCCTTTTAATTCTTAATCAAAGTAGCAAGCCAAGAACTATTGAAGATTATGATGCTATCATATCTGCTAAAATCCCTGATAAAAATCTTCATCCTTTGGCATATGATACTGTTTGGCGATCGATGATGCATGGTTCATGTAGTTCTGCTTATCCAAATGCGCTATGTATGAGAGAAGGGAAATGTTCGAAACGATATTCATGCACCTTTTGTACCACTACATCTGTAAATAAAGATGGTTATCCTATCTACCGCCGCTTTCATGATAGCCGTTCTGTCGAAATTAGAGATGCAAGTTAAATAACCGCTAGGTGGTACCACATAATCTTTATCTTGCTACAAAATATGATGCACATATTAATGTTGAAATATGTTCTTCCATAGCCGCTATTAAATATCTTTTTAAATATGTTTATAAGGGCCATGATTGAGCAACAGTTGAAATAAGAAGACAAACTGAAGTAAGACCAACAAATAAAATTAATGAAATTAGCCTTTATTTAGATGCTCGCTACGTTTCTGCCTCAGAAGCCGCATGGCGACTATTCTATTATAAACTACATAATGAGAAACCTGATATTATGAGGCTTCATGTTCATCTCCCCAGCCAATACACTGTATATTATCGAGATGATGAAACTTTAGTAGAGATACTTGAGCATGAAAACACTTCTGAGACCACTTTAACTGTATAGTTTAAAGCAAATGCACGGTTTCCAGCTGCACATGAATTAACATATAGTAATTTTCCTACTTAATAGGTTTATCATAGAGACCACAAGGAATGGAAACCTAGACAACGAAGAAATAGTATTGGTCGTATGTATTTTGTATATCCAAAAGCTAGAGAATGTTACTATCTTTGAATCATACTAAACGTAGTGCGTGGTGCAACATCCTTTGATTATCTTAGAACTGTCAATAATGTTCTTTATCCTACTTTTAAGAACGCCTGTGAAGCTTTAGGTTTACTTCAAGACGATAAAGAATGGAATGATTGTTTAAATGAAGCTCAACAAATACAATCTGGATCACAAATGCGGTATTTGTTTGCTACAATTCTTATGTTTTGTTATCCCACTCACCCGGAATTACTTTGGCAAAAATACATCACATCTTTTAGTGATGATATACTTTATCAAACCCATTTAGAAGCAGAAAGCAACCCTTCCTATACTTTTACCGAAACTGATATACACAATATAGCATTAACAAGATTAGAAGCTATTTTGATCAGAAATAGATTTCGTCTTACCGATTTTCCAAACATGCCTTTACCGCTTTAATTATTTAACAATCATATTCAGCAAAATTATTTACTCGCAAAAGAGTTGCAATATGATCATGATTTTCTTAAAGTTAGAGCTCAGAATGCCTATTCACGTTTAAACTCAGAACAGTGCTCCATTTTTGATGCAGTAATTACAGCTGTAGAAAATCAAAGTGCTGCTATATTTTTCGTAAATGGTCCTGGAGATTCAGGTAAGACGTTTTTATATGGCGCTATATTAGACAAAATCAGATCTACTAGAAATATAGCGCTTGCAGTAGCTACTTTAGGCATTGCAGCACTTTTACTAGATGAAGGTTGTACTGTGCATTCCCTTTTTCAGATTCTATTTGAGTTACATGAGGATTCTGTATGTAATATATCACATGGGTTAGATCATGCAATTCTTTTATAGCAAGCAAGCCTCATTATTTAGGATGAGGCTCCTATGGCAAATCGTTTTGCACCAGAAGCTATTGATCGAACTCTAAGAGATTTAATGAAAGCGATAGATCTAGTTTTAGAAAAT